AGAGAGAGAGAGAGAGAGAGAGAGAGAGAGAGAGAGACAGGAAAACTTCTAACCAGAACTACAAGTTATAAAAGTCATTAATGACCCAATTTATTTAAAGGTAAATCCTATGTATGTGCTTAAACTCTAGAAGAGTATGCCCTTACACAGAGGAGGATAGGGAGGCTGTTTATTTCTACACAAACAATAAGCATCTTTTTCTTTTCGGTACTGGGAATCAAACTCAGGGCCTTGCGCTTGCCAGATGGGCGCTGTGTTGCTGCTGCTGAGCCATATCCCTGGCCCGACCGTGAGCATCTTGTACTACCAGTTATAGCTGTATTTTGTAGCTTCTCACGGGACTAATGTGTCTTCATTGGGGGTAAATTGTACCATGGTGTAGAGAATCTGAGTTTCCAAGCGGCACTTTATGCTAATGTTAGACTCCCTTACAATCGCTCAGGGTGTCATTTCAGGGAAAGCTGAAGTGTTACACAGATTAATAGGAATTGGTGCAGATGACATTTAACAGAGTTGTAGCATTTAGCAGTTTCACCCTTTCCACTAGATGAATATGACTTTGAAACCTTAAAGGTGAGAATTCATGGTTCTTTCCCTGTTTTTAGATTTTTGATGAAATTGAGTCATGAAACTGTCACCATTGAATTGAAGAACGGAACACAGGTGCATGGAACAATCACAGGTATGCGGGTTGAGCTTTTTATAACACTTCTGTTTTGTTTGGGTTTTTGTTTCCTCATCTCTTCCACCTTCGGACCAGAAGTCTTGGTTTCTCAGTGAACATTATTGTGGTGGTGATCCTCTTTTTTTTTTTTTTTTTTTTGTCTGAATTAATTGGCCTTACTTAAGCCTCATTCAGGTACTTGCGCTGTAACCAACTGACTTTCACAGATTGTCCTGTTTGCTGTTAGGCCTTTGCTGGAGTGTCTTCCTTGTCTAGAATGTTGCCGCTTCCACTTTGGAATCATTGTGGTTTGATTAGATGTTGTGTTCCCTATCAGACGGTAACATTTTGGAGGATACAGTGTGGGCTTTCCATGTCTGATTATGTTGGGTAAGATACGTGGGGAATGAAGGGGAAGTCGGGGAACCAGAATCTCACCTCACTGAGGAAGTACTGTTGGTAAAACATTTTGAGTATTTTCGTTGCTCCTAGTTTATGGTTCCAAAAAATTGCAGAATTTCATAAGAACTGACAGACCAAATGAATAAAAATGCTACCTTAGCAGATGTTCCCATTCTCTAAAGTCTTGAAATTGTAAATGTATAAGTAATTTTTTGATGTGTAGATTAGCATCTGAATCAGTCAAGGGAAGCAAAGTATTAAACTGACGTTATTTGTGAATATACTGAAACTGTACAATACAAGTTGCTGTGAAAGGAAATTTGTACAGTGTAAGGTAATATGACCTATGACCATATCTGAGCAAGAGTAATTGTCCTGTTAAATTCTCTAAGTAGTGCCAGGCATGGTGGCACACACCTGTAATCCTGGCACTCAGGAGGCCGAGGCAGGAGGATTGCCACAAGTTCAAGGCCAGCCTGGGCTACATAGTGAGACCTTGTCTTTTAAATAAATAAATAAATAAATAAATAAATAATCCCTAAATAATGATTTAGCCTGCTTTCTCCAGAGCACTGTTTTAGGTATTAAGGAGCCAGAGGGTTGTTCTTGCCTTTCTGTTTTGTTGCAGTACTGGAAGTTGAACCAGGGTCTTTGTCCCAAGCTGCATCCCCAGCCCACTTTAGTTTAGTTTAGTGTTGAGACAGGGTTTTGCTGTACAGTCTAGGCTGGCCTTGAACTCACTGTGTAACCTAGGCTGGCCTCAAACTTGCGGATATCCTTCTGCCTCAGTCTTCCCAGTGTTGGGATTATAGGTGTGCATCCCCACACCTGGCTTAAGTTTTTAATCTTGAGACAGGGCTTTATTAATTCACTAAGTTGCCCAGGCTGGGCTTAAACTTCCAGTCCTCCTGCCTCAGCTTCCAGAGTGCTGGGGTGATTCTGCCCCACTTGCAACCATTGTGACCAGTGTTTCGTGTCCTACATGAACAGATAGAAATGTGAATGCATTCTCAAGCATTACAGCAGGGATAATCCCACTGTGTCGCTTAGGGCTGGTGAGGAGTATATTATACTGGCTTATCATGTAGTCCCTGGGTCATAGAACGAGCTTGTCAGCATCCCCAGCCCTGTGGATCAGCGCCCCCAGGGAGGTGGGACATTTGAGAGAGAAAATTGGTTCCAGGAAAGAAACCTGGCCAGGAGAGAGGAGGAAAGAAGTAGTAAGGCTGAACATTTGGAGGTGGGTTCTGGGGAAGTTGAGAGAGCGCGCACTCTGACTTGAGGAACAAGGGTGAGGAGGCTGCAGAGACGGGACAGCGGGGACATGGGTGCAGGGAGCACCTTCACCCCAGGCAGGGGGGCGTGTGGGGCGGGGACACCTGTAGCGGCAGGCCCCCGACTGACTGCCTCGGGCTGTGCGGATCCCCGGCCACATGAGGACACTGCTGGGGCTCCTCTCGCTGCTCTGCCCAGCACTGCCGGAGAAGCCCGCGCTGTTTATGGTTTGCTGTGACCGGGCTCGGCTGACGCTCCTCGGCTTTGTCCTCTGCAGGCGTGGATGTCAGCATGAACACACATCTGAAGGCTGTGAAGATGACCCTGAAGAACAGAGAGCCCGTGCAGCTGGAAACGTTGAGCATTCGCGGAAATAACATTCGCTATTTTATCCTGCCAGACAGCTTGCCGCTGGACACGCTACTCGTGGATGTTGAGCCTAAGGTGAAGTCTAAGAAGAGGGAAGCTGGTAAGTTTGAAGGGTTGCGCATATTTTTGTATATGTTGTATTTAAATTCCATCCACTACTCAAAATACAACATGTAGCCAGGCATGGCTCACACGCACGCCTGTAATCCCAGCACTCAGGAGGCTGAGGCAGGAGGATTACAAGTTGGAGGCCAGCCTAGACTTATCTCACAAGTAAAAGCTGTAAAGGGAGGGAAGGGCTGCGTGTAAGTGGGCAGGTAACAGTCACGCAGAAGGGAATTTCACTCACTTGTTTCCTTTCCTTTCCCTCAGTGGCAGGAAGAGGCCGAGGCCGAGGTCGAGGAAGAGGACGCGGTCGCGGCAGAGGAAGAGGGGGTCCCAGGCGGTAACGCCTCTCAAGATGACTGTTGCTCAAGTGATCGGGGATATTTTTTGTACAGGTTTTGTTCGTCAGTTTTTAATAAACGTAATTGTGGGACAGAGTTGTCTGTTGACTATTAACAAGTTTAAGTTTTAGCAGTTTGCAGTGTATTTGGGAAATTAACACAGTGCCAGCAAATCAGGTGTTTTGTTTGTGTTTTCAGACAAAGTCTCGCTATGCAGTTCAGGCTGGCCTTGAACTAACTTTGTAGCCCAGGCTGGCTTCAGACCCATGGTAAGCCCCCTGCCTCAGCCTCCTGAGCCTGCAACCATTGGAAAACTATGCCTAGCTTTTTGGGTGGGTCAGCTACTGGGGCTGTAATTCAGGGCCTTCATATTGAGCTACATCCTCAGCCCTTTTTGTTTTTTTCTTTTGAGACTGAATCTTGCTAAATTCCCTGGGCTAGGCTCAGACTACAATCCTCAGGCCTCAGCCTCCCAGAGTACTAGGATTATAGGTGTGTACCACCACAACCAGCTTGGACTTAAAACTTTTGTGTGTGTGTTTAATATTTAAAACACCTTTTTACTTCATTTCACATGCACTGCATATGCTTGCTTGCTTCTTTGTTTGGAGACAGGAACTCAATGTGTAGTGTAGGCTGTCACTTGAACTTACTTGTGTAGCCCATGATGGCCTTGGATGCATGGCAATCTTCCTGCCTCAGCCTCCCAGTGCTGGGATTACAGGCTTGTGCTACCACACTCCTGGCTGCGTATACATTTTATTGGTTACTCTGATTCTATTTTCACCTGTGTAACCTGGCTGCGTGTGAAATAAGTTGTGTTTTTTTTTTCAGTACTGGGGATTGAACTCATGACCTTGTGCTTGGCAAGCAAGGGCTTATACCACTGAGCTATATTTCAGCCCCTGAAATAAGTTTTTGTGTTTCAGAAATTAAAGTCCTGATGGGGTGGCATCTCACAGTGCCTTCTCCTTGTTTAACTCGGAAACATCGGTATATGTTACAGGCTGATAGTTACCTTCTGAGTCAGACACCAGTCATTTTGTTGTCAGTACACATTTCAGTTTCTTTCACATGTCCGTAGGTTCTCAATAAAATACAGTTTTCTATTCTCCTGAGTTGGGACCTGGATGATGGTCACTAGATTTTCATTTGTGAACAGTGTGGAAGCGTATGGAATCACCTGTCAGTGGTTCCTCAACCAAATACTTCTGAAAAGAGCTCTTTAAGGGGCCAGGGCTATTGCTCAGCGGCACAGCGCCTGCCTGGCAAGCGTGAGATCATGAATTTGATTCCCAGTACCTAAAAAAGAGAAAAGTTCTTTAAGAGCAAAAGGGAAAGGCCTACTTTATTTGATAGCAAAACAATTCTTTGTCACCTTTTTGTTCTGAGACAGGGTCTTGCTCTGCAGTTCAGGCTGGCCTCAGACTCCAGATCGCTGCCTCAGCCCTGTAGGTTACAGGTGCACACCACCACACCTGCCTGGCCAGAATGTTTTTTTGTTTGTTTGGTTGTTTTTCTTTGGTGCCAGGAATTGAACTCAGGACCTTGCGCTTGCCAGGCAGGTGCTGTACCGCTGAGCTATAGCCCTGGCCCCCAGAATGTTTTTAAAATGTAATTGGTTAAATTTAAGGAAAATACACTTACTATTTGTAATTCCTTATAAAGCTTATTACTAATAATGTGCTCAGGAAAAGTAACGTTGAAGATGTGAGAAGGCCTAATCTGTTTTCATAATTTTTGATGTGTATATGTTGATGTTTTTTTAAATGTGAAATTTTTTCTGGATAAATTGTTAATTTTTAAAAAGTTAAAGCTGGGTGTGGTGGCACACACCTGTAATACCAATACTTGGGCAGCTGAAGCAGGAGAATCACTGCACGTTTAAGCCAGCCTGAGCTACAAAGTGAGTTCTAGGCCAGCCTGAACTAGGAGACCTTGTCTCAAAAAGAAAAAATATTTTATTTCAGCAGTTCACTAACTAAGAGAAAAACCTTGCAGATGCATATAACTAGTTAAGGATTAGTATCTAAGCTATATAAAGTAGTCTTAAAACTAGAGAAAGTTGTTAAAAAGTGACTAAAGCCCGGTGAACTGCATAGCTAGGTTGTCTAAAAAAAAAACAACAAAAAACAGTGACTAAAGAAGATACACAATTCACCCAGAAAGAAAGCCCATTAAAGTGGGGAGAGCGCTCTAAACTCAAGGAATGCAGAATAAAATCATGCACATACACTCTAGAGGACATCAAGTACGGTGCAGGACTGTTGTGATTTTTAGGGCTTTGGTTTCTCTGGCAGTTTGGGAGATCAGCCTCTGCCCCCGTGCATGCTGGGTAAGAGCTGTCCCCCGATCTCAGCCCAGCAGTGGCTCCTCGAATAGTAAAAATGCCCTCATTGGCTCCGTGTCTGCCCAGAAAGGGTTACATACATTGTGCAGAACCACACAGCAACACCGGAGTCTCTGTGTGGAGCGCACGCCGCCTGGGAACCACCAGCTCGCGGTCCTTGCTGGGAGGAGAGGCAGGAAGCTGCGGCCGGAGCGCAGAGGGACCTGGTCCCTGCTTCGGGTGACACCCGAGCTGCTCGCTGGTGTGCTTGGATTGAGCCATAGGAAACTGCTACTTCACTGACCTGTAAAACATGAATCTGATAGCGTTCAGCTTACCACATTACGTAATTTTCAAAACTCTGCTTGAGAACTCGACGAAGGGAAAAGAAACAGAAAGGAGTTCTCCCACCACAGCCGCATCAGCTCCGAAGACCACACGGGAGGGTGGGCGGAGGCGCACCTGCCATCTTCTGGGCTTAGCCCCTGCCCAGAGAAGCTCCAGCAGCCGTCTACTGACAGCCTTCACCTTCGGGTGCTGGTAATATCTGACAAGCCTGCATTCTGTACCCTGGCAATTTCGAGCCACCAAATGCTGTGAATCAGGTCACAGAGTTCCTGGAATTTTGGCAGTTGGTTCTTGTACGTTGGTACCATACTCTATGACCTCCTCCTCACCCCTACCAGGAGAAAAGCTCTTTGTAATCTGGCTTGGGTTGAATGATGATCAGCTCATTGGTTATTGGGGAGGGGGCGTGAGACTAAATCTCACTGTGCAGTCCAGGCTGGCCTCAGCTCCCCTGCCTCAGCCTCCTGAGTGCAGGGACTGGGCTGCGTCTCCAGGCCCAGCTTGAACAGCTCACTGTTAACGGTAGAGGTAGACATTGATTGATGCAGGTCCTGAAAGTGATAGGAAGAGAATCTAATAAAACCCTCTGCTTTTGAGTATTCATGGAGTCCGCATTTTAAGGCCTTTCTAGGCAACTTGATTCTTGACTTCGCAGCAAATCTGGAGACAGACAACCTGAATAATATCCTATTACTCCTCAGCCCGTTTGAGTTGGCCTAAGGCCTCTGGTTGCCTGTTCTAGCGAGAGAGGTGAAAGGTGCTAACCTTTCACTTAGCGTTAGCTAAGTTGTGGTTACACAACTCGTCTCCGCGGCTCCGGAAGCACGGAAGGCTGGAGCCGCTCCTGCGGTGCTGCCGTTGCAGGCGGGGTGGTTTTACAAGTGGCCGCGTTCTGTTACTGTAGAGAGTTGTGCTCCTGAAGAACGGAGGCGAACTCGTCCTCTGGGAATGGGCGCTGAAGCCCCAGGCGCACAGGGAGGAGAATCTCGCCCCCGGGATGGAGACCTAGAAGCGGGATTTCTACGGTGACAACTGTAACATTAACTTTCTGCAGCTTTAACTAAATTAGTTGACAGAAAAATTCGGCACTGAGAGACACCATGCAGTTCAAATTAGAACTAAGCGATGGAAAAGCTGGTTCTAAGCAGGGGTTAGGAGCTTTTCCCTCTAGCTGTTAAGCCATAGTTTCTGAAAATCCTTTTTTGTTTTTTTTCCAGTACCAGGAATCAAACTCATGACCTCGCGCTTGCCAGGCAGGCGCTGTGCCGCTGAGCAAATCCCCAGCCCCTTGGATATCATTCTTAACAGCTTCATTACATATAATTCATATACCACAGACTTGACCCTTTATGTATTGAGACAGGTTCTGTTACCTTCTTGCCCAGGCTAGCCTCAAATTCCTGGATTTAAACGACTTCCGCCTCAGCCGCCTGAGTAGGGGGACCACAGGCACTCCACACTAACCCTTCTAATGTATGTGTTTTACTTATCCACTCCGTAGTTAAGGCGCATTTGAGCTATTTCTCCTTTTTGGCTGTTGTGAATAATATTGCTATGAACGCTCGTGTACAGATTTCTGTCAGCACTGATTTTAGTTCTCTCCCGTGTGTCCCTCCTGGCAGCCCAGCTGCTGGGGAGGCTAAGGTGAGGTGGTCATTCGAGTCCAGGATTTCAGGACCAGCCTGGGCAACGTAGCAAGACCACATCCAACAACAACAGAAATTATATCCTTAGGGGCTGGGGATTTAGCTCAGCGGCAAAAGCGCCTGCCTGGCAAGCACAAGGTCGTGAGTTCGGTTCCCGGTACCGGAAAAAAAAAAAAAAAGAAAAGAAATTATATCCTTACGCACGAGGCCCCTGGATCTTGTGGTAACTTTGTTTTAGTGCTTCTAGGGACTTCTAGACTTTTCCAAGTGGCCACACCACTTCACGCTTCCACCAATGATGTGAGGACTCATTTCCAGTTTCACCAGCAATTGTCACTTCCTGACACTTGAGTGTTACTTTTTCTTGGTTACTGTGACAGTTGGAAGTGCAATATCCATCTTGTGCCAAATTACTGGACAAAAAGACCCAACACTGCCTCTGGGCTTCAGTGGAATTTTTTCTCCACAATATTGAAACCCAACAATCTTATGTTAAAACCACCACAGTTAAGACTGCATTGCTTTTTTTCTTTTTTTGAGACCGGGTCTCACTATGTAGTTCAGGCTGGCCTTGAACTTACTTATGTAGACCAGGCTGGCCTCGTTCATGGCCATCCTCCTGCCTCAGCCTCTCAAGTGCTCAGATTACACACCTGGCTCTGTTTAAGGAGAGGCTCAGGTGGGTTTGACACAAGTTGTACTTTTACCTGAGGTTTCCTTGGACCTCTCAGGCGTACCGCCCTGGGTCAGCGGTCCTTCGGAGAGGGGGAAGA